ACCAGCGGAGACCCGGGAGGGAAACGACTGCAGGCCTGGCATGGACAGGAGCAGCAGCAGTGGGAAAATGCTCCGGAGTTGTTCCACTTCCCAGGCAATCCCGGGCCAGGCTCCATGTGTGGGAGGCAGCGTCCCGAGCGTGGGGCAGGCCCAGCAGCGGCTGGCAAAGGAGCCCAGCAGCAGGGCCGGGCTGGCCGGCAGCGCCCAGCACAGGGCAAAGTCTGCTGTGGGTGCAGCCGGAGAGCATCGGACCCATGACAGTGGGCTTGGTCCTTTACATGTGTGTCCTTGTCGCCAGGGCAAGTGCTGCCAGAGATGCAGGTGTCCCTGGGGCGCTCCCCAGCCCCTGGCAGGGTCCCTCTCCATCTGCCGACCCATCCCCACCGTGGACAGGAGGCCTCCTGCCGGAGTGGGGCAGGATGAGAAGCTGCAGCAACCAGGGCATGGGGTCGAGGAGCTGGTTCCCAGCACTGTCACCTGCAGCTGGAGGAGCCGCCCTGCAGTTTGGGCTGGGCTGGGCAGGGTTGGGCTGAGCTCATCTGGGCTGGGATGGGATGGGATGGGACAGGATGGGATGGGACGGGATGGGACAGGACTAGCCTGGGTTGGGATGAGCTGGGTTGGGATGGTCTTGGCTTAGTTGGGATGGGATGGGCTGCGCTGGGCTGGGCTCAGTGCCAGAGCCCCCGCCAAGGCGCACCAGTCAAGATGCTGACCAAGCAGGTCTCCTTAGTCAGGACCCAGGACATCCCTGCCAAGCTCAGCTGAAACTGCCTCTGCGGGGTGGGGGTGTGCTGCAATGCTCGTCGGGCTCCTCCTGGGGTTTTATTTGTACTTTTCAAGAAAAACAGCCAGGTCTACTTTGACTGTGGTGTGAACCCAAAACAGGCTGATGAAAATCAGGCTTTGTCCCTGCCTGCCCGGAAAGCCTCTGGTCCAGCACGCGGAAGAAGTGGGAGGTTGTGGGTGGCTGTGTGTGCCATGGCCACAGCAGCGTAGGCGGCCCCAAGGCTTGAGAGCGTGTGGAGCTGCCCGGGCCTCCACATTGACTGACGTGAACACTGGGGTGAATTAAAGCAATGTCAGATGTGCGGTGAGTCTCCAAAATAAAAACAAGACGCCTTCTGACCAGCACTTGGCCTTTCTTCAGGGATACTCCAATAGTGGATCTCTGGAAGAGCAGCTGGATTTGCTAATTAATTCTGTGGTTTTCTAGGCCAGGTTCACTCCCCATCCATGG